CATCATCATCATCTACAAATTGATTAGATTATTTGCAAAGGGACAAACTCAGATAACTGTGCAAATCATGCATGGTACGCACAACTACATATGCCAAATCCATACTCTGCAGAGTTGCTTATCTCCTCACTTTATCACCTAAGTGATCCCATTACTCTTTTTTTTTTTTTTTTTTTTTTTTTTTGAGACAGAGTCTCATTCCATCACCAGGCACCAGGCTGGAGTGCAGTGGCACGACCTTGGCTCACTGCAACCCCTGCCTCCTGGGTTCAAGCAATTCTCCTGCCTCAGCCTCCCGAGTAGCTAGGACTACAGGCACGCGCTGCCACGCCCAGCTAATTTTTTGTATTTTTAGTAGAGATGGGGTTTCACCATGTTGGCCAGGATGGTCTCGATCTCTTGACCTTGTGATCCACCTGCCTCGGCCTCCCAAACTGCTGAGATTACAGGTGTGAGCCATCGCACCCGGCCTTTTTTTTTTTCCCTTTGGTAAATCACTGTTATTTCAACTCAGCGTACCCCACCTTGCTCGGAGACAATATTCCTGAAAATGCTCCTCTGGGTGAATCTAACTGACACACAAACACTTCATTACCTCAATGTGGATAATAAATCCAGGGGTCCAAACACTGATTATTTTTACATACAAGGGAAGACAGTTCCATAGTCTCATCTACAGCATTCACCTTGGCTGGCTGGACAATCACAATTCAAACAAACAGAGGAGTGGGGAGAATTTGGAATTTTAGGTAGTTACAAAGCTAATCCCTCATAAAATATGCCCAGCCAAAAAGACAATGTGTTAAACGATCATTATCACATCTGAAAAGCACCTTTGATTTATATCACTAAATAATACGATAAAGCAGCAGCTCTACGATACCACCAACCTGCCTCTAACTACCACCTTACTGAAGTGCTCTCTCAACTGTGAAGAAGGCTTAATTTGCAAGTACCTTATGTTTCTCCATATTTACATTAAAGAATTTAAATGGCCTGAACCAAGTTTGTTACGCCTGTCTGAATCACCCTCAATGCAGGCAATTTCTGATTTATGAGCTTAGAGCTGAGTAGGTAACCTCTGGCGGCATATCCAATTTTTTTTTATTGCCTAAACTTTGGACCATTTCTGATCATTATAGCCTAATCAGAGGTCAAGAGGGAAGAAAGGATTGTGGCAGAAGGTTTGGTGGTGATATAAAAAAGAACTACTCATTGAAGCATTTGTATAGATTTTTATCACCTAAGTGATCCCATTACTCATTAATAGAGACAATCACAAACGTTCAGGCTTGCCTGGTGCCTTCAAGCCGTCAGGCTCATCACACAGCTGAAACTCATAAAACTAAGCCTTGGACTACCTCTCCTGAATCACTCATCCTGACACCTGAACTCCACTTTCCATGTGTACTTAACTGTCCCAGCATCCAACTTTATTATCCACTCCTCCCTCCATTGCCTCACCTTGTTACTGAAGCTGAGACTTGGGATCACGTAACTAGTGTCTAGAGGCTTCCATGCCTACAAGGCCATCAAACATACCAAGAAAACATGCCACCCAGCCCAGAGCAGGCCTCAGCATCTTAAGTCTCTGTCTCCCACATTAATTGTGTTAGAAAGGCACATGTATATATTTGGAGGTTCCCAGGAATCTGAAGTTTAATGTTTGACTTGAGAACTTCAAGCACCCGCGTAGTTCTTATTTCACTTATGATCTCTTAGACATGAACCCAGCATTCTTATTCCATATATTAGGAAATTGAAAAATGGCTTACCTTTTCAGATATAAGCGACATAGTGAAAGTAGTAGCCCTTGCAAGAACTAATCCTAATTTGCGCCATTTGGGGCCATGTCTACTGTATTCTTCAGTATCTTCTATGAAGTGGTCTATGTGATATATTCTATTATGAATTTATTAACAGAGATAATATTCCTCTCTTTAAGGAGTAGCAGCCTTTGGCTATGAGATAATAACATAGCCAAATACATATTACTTGTTCTTTTTTCCTTTTGATCTTGTCTGCCAGGAATCTTGGAGCTAAATTAAAGGCTCATACTCAAAAAACTTGTTGGGCTATGTGAAGGTATGAAGGCGGTAACTTGTCACATTCTCCTTTCATGACCTTTATTTTCGGTTTTTATTTTATTGGCCTTATTGTAAATCTACCTTTTTATTGTAAACCACACATTCTAATCACCACATTCTTTGAGAATGTGGTTATTATTATTAGCTTATTTATTTAGTTGAGATGGAGTTTCACTCTCCTTGCACAGGCTGGGAGCGTAGTGGCGCAATTTCAGCTCACTGCAACCTCCGCCTCCCGGGTTCAAGTGATTCTCCTGCCTCAGTCTCCTGAGTAGCTGGGATTACAGGCATGCACCACCATGCCTGGCTATTTTTTTTTTCTTTTTGTATTTATAGTAGAGATGAAGTTTCTCCATGTTGGTCAGGCTGGTCTCAAAATCCTGACCTCTGGTGATCCACCCACCTCAGCCTCCCAAACTGCTGGGGTTACAGGCATGAGCCACCACACCTGGCCTAGCTTAATTTTCAAAAGCAACCTCAGCCCATGAACAATGTTCAAAAGTAATTCTACATCCCAGATATCATTATGCACAAAATGAACTCATCAACTCAAGAGAAAAAAGAAAATTACGAATACAAATGTTTCTAATTCAATAGAATAATTCATATTATGTAAATTATTACTTAGATGACCATATTGGATGCTAACCCTGTCCAAGGATGATGCAATATAAGCTTATTCTATAATACTGATAATTTTTCAAAGCTTTAAATTAATAAGATTAAGCATAACTAGAAATACCTTAAAAACCAAAGTTTAAACTGTAAAAGGCCATCAGAAATGAATGGTTCAGTGCCTCTACTCAAATTGTTGTATAATTATCTGTTACATATGCTTTTCCCATCTTTTGCTGATTTACGTTAGTTCTCTGGCTGTAACTGGACTTGAACTTTTCAGTTTCAATGACGCTTTACACAAGAAAACTGAAAATGGTAGGGAAAAAAGCCCTCACAAAAGAAGTATGCAAAAACCCACCACTATTTATTGTGTACATAATGATCTTCTCATTCAGCCTAGGATGCAGTCTTGTCTTGTGTAACTTAAATCTGTATGGAATTGGCATCTGATTTACAGATGACCTGGCATCATATGAATATAATTTACTATGCCATGTGTCTCCTGCCACCTAAATCAATAGCTTGAATATAGAGACGTCTCAATTAGACAGTGCAAGGAGAGCAATATCTGCTTCCTCCTTTCCCATGTCATTAAAACAACCAATATTACAAAGCGGTGTTTGTTTTAAAGTCATTTTGGAGGGGTGGATCTATTATTTCAAGTTAGTTGGTCGACACAAAGGGAGAGTTGCCATCAAACTGAATGAAAAATCAAGCATAAGGTAATATATGTAACAGCCTGTAAGGGGTGACATTCATTTATTAAAGTATTGATTGGTGCATTTCTACAGCACCTGTGTATTATCATGGGCTTGAGGAGTTGAACAGTGTTAAATTATAATACTGACCACACAGAAGTCATCCATCCTTCCCCTTCAACTTTGGTGTAGGGGTTTGCAGAGGAAACAGGAGTTTGTGGAGGAAACAGGGTTTGTTTCCTCTACAAACCCCTACACCAAAGTTGAAGCACATGCACAGTATTGGCCATAATGAGGTAAATTATCTGGAGGCTCAACTGTGTTTGTTCTCTCCCTGCAACACATCCAAAAATTAAGCTGTCATTATAAAAAAAACTTCATAATGGGAAAGCGATATTATTTATCACCAGTCACAATGTTCTCCAAATCCCAGTAAAAAGTTGACGACAAGACCCACACAGTTTGCTCATGAGGATTTTAGGGCAACTTCTCAAACATGGATACTGCCTGGGATAATCTCAGGAGAGAAAAGTAAGACTCGTTATTTTCCTGATTTTATAAATGGTGAAATATAGAAATGAATGCCGATTGCCCTTCACAAGGTGCCTGTATCCGGTCCCAGAGCTGTAAATGCACAAGTTTCTGGGGGGTTCCTCCCATGGAACTGAAATGATTTCAACATAATAGTTTGAAACATCACCTGCCCTCATATTAAATATAATTGAAAACTCAAAGATTCCAACTGCTAGAATTAAATCTAGGAGCTTCTTTTTCAGAATCTTCCTTTCAAATTCTAGTGATCTATTTGTTTGTTGTTTGTTTAAATAAAATCTCACTTTGTCACCCAGGCTGGAGTAGTGCAGTGATGCAATCTTGGCTCACTGCAAACTCCACTTCCCAGGTTCAAGTGATTCTTCTGTCTCAGCCTCCTGAGTAGCTGAGATTACAGGTGCCCACCAGCCCGTCTAGCTA